CTGGCAGAGATGTCGAAACAGATTATTCTTTGCATAAACAGATACAAATTATAGACGTAGTTATATGCAAACTTAAATTGTTTATTGCAGTTTTTTTCTTTGCATTGCAATTGTTTATTCATTTTCAAATGAAGTTGCACATCATGCCTTTCTTGATGGGGATCCTTTTTATCTTTCTTGATGCAAGGATTCTCTAACTTAGAAACTACCCTTCTGCATATTATCCTGTAGAAAGTATATCTCAGATATCAGTAATTTTTCAGAATGTTATCCTTCTTTACTAAAATTAAACTAGCTTATCAAGAATTAATTGGCTTTGCATAAAACCAAAGCAAAACATTTGATTGTGTTGTGACATGTTTTTCCATTTTTGGAGCTAAATCACACTATTTGGTGATGATATATATGTGCTACCAATATAACAAGCTGTGGTTAGAGTAGACTTAAGGGTACTCCTTGTATTATCATGAAGTTGTTTCATTTATCGCCAAGGGAGTGCGCAGTGCCAAGTTTGTACAATTCTCTGATGCTTGTGAAATAAGTGAAAATAAGTTAATGTGTACATGGATAAGTCAAGGGAGTGTGCAATGCCTAGTTTGTGCAATTCTGTGACTTGTTATTTTGTCTTTGTGGCTACACAAAGCCAAAAAATAAGTCGAATTGCACAAACTCTGTATCCATATGCCACCAAAAATCACCAATTTTCGCCAAGGGGTACCCGTAAATATACTTTTACCTAAGCTTTATAATGGTATTGTAAATTGCTCATTTTTATGATTTTGGGGGGAAATTTTTTTTTCTAAAATTCTCAAATATTTGGTTACGTGAGCTTTCCAGTTAGTTGAATGCCTGATAGTTTTTGATAGTTAGTTGGGCTTTTGCTGTGAAACATTTTAAATACCTTTTTTTTTCTGTTAAAATTTCTAATATTTCCTTTTCACAGTTTTTTCAAACTTTTTTCCTCCCTCCTCTCAGTTACCAGAATATTAGTTTTGTTGCAAGTAGCTCTACTGGATGCAGCAATAGATATATGTAGATGCTTGGCTAGATTTTTACGTAGTAAACTAAACACATGAAGCAATAGATTTGTTTTAAACAATAAAACCTTATTAAATGATAACATAACTTATTATGCATTCAATTAACATAGATGATTATGTCGTCGGAAGGAAAGAACCAGCTAACTACAGTGATGATGAAATGTGAAGTGAGTTTGTGCATTCACTTACGGTTACAATTGGAAAAATGGACATGTGGTTGGCAAGTAAACACAAGTTCAGTTAGAGTCCTCTCAGTACTTCCCCTTCAGTGTCATTAAAATTAGAAGTAACGAAGGTTAAATCAAACCCAGTGTCCAGAACATGTATGCTGGGGAAACGCTTCGTTTCTGGGATCCAGACACAGGTGATAATACAGTAGTAGCCGGAGGTGTAGACACAAGGGGTGAATATATAGGTGCCTTCAAGGGGGATGTGACTGAAGTATAAGCTTTCACAGCTTCCTGTGCAAAGGTTGGTTTAAGATTATCAAAGCATATTTATTCTTTGTTTCTGATAAGTATCTGATAGTTCTTGGATGTACGACATAGAACTAGATGTGAGCTTGTATAAGTAGGCTTCAGTGACTTTTTTTGATACATCATACCTTAAAAACACACGAGGGTGTAGCATGCTCTTTGGAAATAAGCACAAGTCTTTGAAGAATGTACCCTTGTAGTGTAGGAGATAATGTAACCATGGTTTCATGCAGTTGTTTGAGAAACACATGAGGCTCAACATTGTTTGAGTTTTTTGTGGGGTTCATAAAATCTCCAGGTTAATGTAAATTAACATTGAAGATCTTTTCATCACTGGAAGAACTCAGGTCCTCTTTAAAAGTCATTCTTAATCATAAAATCAACCCAATGAACAGAAGTCTGGCATCTAATGGCCTGTTTAAGAGAGTGATGGAACCTCTTGATAAGTCTATTGGAACTCTGGTGATACGGTGATATGCGGATGTTTTTAGTTCCCAAGAATTTCATTAATGCAGGATATGATTGGGACTCCAACTGCCATCTCTCGTCCATGGTAATGCACTCAGGTTCCCTAAACCGTGAAATAATGCAGAAAATTTTTTTACCAACATGTATACCTGTCAACAGATATTAAGAAGGTGTATATAATGTTGCGGTAAGGATAAGGATCCAACCAAATCGATATAGACGGGGCTAAAGCAAGCACATGGTAACTCAAAGTGTTGAGAGTTTGAGCGTGTCTGTGAATTTTTTACTTTTGACAGTCTGCACATGCTCTAGCCCATACAGCGATGTCCTCCTGATGTCCATACCAAGTCATATAAAATGCTGTTGAATTAATATGCAGAAAGCACGGATCCGAGGATAGGATAAATTATGAGCACCACTAAAAATACTGTGCTGGAATTTCAGTGAAATATATGGCTGCACCACATTGTCCTGCACATTGCAATACAGTGAAAGGTCTGGTTCCAACTGAACAGGTGAGAAATTATGTCCATGTAAAGATATGTCAGAAAAAGATTTTACAGTTCCGAGTTCTGTTTCTGACACTATGCAGTGGTGGAGAAATTTGTTGTTAAAGGCAACTGAACCTCTTCACTTCTGTACATAGCATCAGCAATGGTATTTTGAGGGCTTTTGACATGCCTCATATCAGTTGCAAACTGTGGTATGTAATTGTGTTGACACATTTGCCCGGGAGAGGCTCTGTCAGGCTTTTGTTGAAAGGCATAAATCAAAGGCTTATGTTCAGGATAGATAGAAAATACTCGACCTTCCACCATATGATGAAAATGTTTAACTGCCTTATTATGCACTAAGTTTGTGATTGTCCGTACTGAATTTTGACTGTGCTGCAAAAAAATGTTTTTGAGAATGCGTGGTTTCCATGCTGATTTCATGGAAGTATGCTTTATCATCAAATCGATGCTGCAAAACTGCACCCTTGGGCCTATTAGATATGTCAACCTTTAATGCTAAAGAATGCTTAGAAAGGTAGATAAGAGCTGTTGCCAATGCTACGTCATTCTTGCATTTTATAAAGGCTTTATGAGATTTGGCAAACCAAATAATTACCTGCATATCTTTCTTAAATATGCATGTAAAGATACATGCTTTGCAGCAGCATGAGGAAGGAAACACTGATAAAAGTTAAACATGGCCAGAAAATGGCATGACTCTTAGACAGTTTTTGGCTCTGGGAAATTTTGAATTGCAGTGACTTTGTCACTAAGTGGGTGAACACCCTCTTAAGAAACTTTATGACCAAGGAATGACACTTAAGATTCCCTGAAAACATATTTTGATGGATTGACCACTACTTCATAAGACTGAAATCGGTCAAGGACTGAATGAAGGTGTTCAAGGTGTTCATTTCTGTTTGTTGAAGCTCAAGAATTTCATCAAAATATGGCACACAAAAATGTAAATCAGGAAGGGTTTCGTTTATGAAGTGCTGAAGCGTTTATGTGGTGTTACTCAACTCAAAAGTCGTAGTAAGAAATTCAAACAATCCAAAAGGCACGCAGCACTTTTGGGTATGTCAGGTGGATTTACTAGAATCTGATGATAAGCACGAGTCAAATCTAACATAGAAAATCATTTTTGCCTTCCAAGACTTGTATGCAGTAATAAATTTGAGGAACCGGATATCTATCAGGCAAAGTAACTGTATTAAGATGTCAATAATTGTCACATGCCTCCAGTCACCGTTTTTCTCAGGTACCAGGTGGCGTGTTGTGGCCTGTGAACGTTTTGAGGTTTGATGAATCCCCTGTTTAAGCATGTATTTAAATTCTTTTGTGGCTCTTAACATCTTTGGAGGCAACTGCCTTGCTTTGGCAAAGATTGGTGATCCAATGGTCTTTATGTGATGCGTAGTACTGTGGTCAGCAGTTGGTTTGCAGGTTACTGAGTTGACTTTAGGATACTGCTGAAGTAGTACATGGAAAGGTGAATTATCAGGGGTTAATTTAATTCCTTAGTCAAGTAAGCATCCATTTTTAATGCTTAGCAATCCATTTTTAATGCTTAGCAAAAGAGAAATATTTTGCAGAAAGTCTGCACCAATTATTGGTTGCAAAACTGCAGCTGTGACAAATGGCCACCGAAATTTATTACCCAAACCTAAGTCTGAAGACATTAATATTTCTCCAAATATTGTGATTTTTGAAATTAGCTGCAAATAAATTTAATTTTTGAGGTGGCTGCTTCAGTTGGCAAGAGAGAGAAGTATGCTTGATATATTAGCACCCGTATCAAGAAGAAAATCTGTGCCTGGGTATTTATCAGTTACAAGTAATTGACTAATGGACTGGCTGCTGATACTCATGGCTTCAAGTGATGGCCCACTGAGTTTTAAAGAGGTCTGCTGTAATTTTCATGGAAGTATGCTTTATCATCAAATCAAGGGTGATAGAAACAAATTTCTTTTTCCTTACTGCATGATTTGCCTTTCGGGTGATATGACCATCTTGTCTGTAAAGCTGCAACCTGCAATGATAATCCCTGTCTTTGTTCCTGGAGTGATGATATATCAACAGTGGGATGCTGAACTTGAATGATTGCTTTTGTTAAAACATTATGAATTTTGTGTGCCATTTGGGCCAACTGGGATAGTTCTTGCTTCTAGTGGTAAGACTAGTTTGGATATTGCTTATGGGTGCATATTGTATTGTCAATTTGCAGAGCCTGTAAATATTTTATTTTGTGTATAACTAGTTAAGCCCTACATCATTGTAATATTTCAACTAAATCTGGGATTTGCATATCTCTGTTTGTGGAATGGTGAATGGAAATATTTAAAACCAGCACATTTGAAAAGCTGTTGTGTGCATTTTACCCAATTAATTTTTTTAAAGTATTTGTTGGAGATTTCATAAATAATTCCATATAATCATTTCATGTTAATTAACTGTTTTGTTTGTAAATTTTTTAACTTGACATTAATATGCTTATAATAATTATATTTTATTTTCAGATACTTTGAAATGGTGCTGCAAACTTCTTTTAGTTCCATTGTCATCTTTGTTCTTTACATGCAAGTTAATTTAATACATAATGCGGAAGTTCCCACAGTTCCGTTTCCGCCAACAATGGTAAAAGAACCATTGCCCGAACAAGTATATCAAGTTGCTCAAACACAGGATGAGAAAGACAATCCATTTATGTTAGAATGTGAAGCTCAAGGAAATCCTGAGCCAGAGTAAGTTTTTTCTGTATGAAAAGAAATTGCTTATAGTTTGTTATTGCATAAAGATGCACGGAGCTAGGACAATTAAACATAAAAAGGTTTTTGTGCTTTGAAGCATATGTAATTTTGATATGCATGAACTTTTTTGCAATAATAAACTTTTTTGCATGTGATTTGAGGAGGAGGAATTAGAGAATTAGTTTGTATCTTATTTGAATTGTCTGTGACAAAAGGTATTCATTTCTATAAACTGAATTTGTGTTTTTGTTAAACTTTTTCTAAAATGTTAATATTAGGGGTTTCAGGTAAATTGGTAATCACAAAATTACCATATCAAGCAGTATAATGTTGAATTAATGCAAATCAGGAAGCTTTGTACTGTTGCATTTTTTGATTTGCAAATATGACAATAAAACGAACAACAGAAACTTGGTTTTATTCAGCTAACAATTTAGTTATGTCTTTGAACGTTGGTACCAACAGCACTACGTCAAAAGCTGTGGATAATTTGGTTATTTTTGAAGCTATCACAAATAAACTTTGGAAGCAAAGAGAGAACCAATGTCAGTAAATGTTACATTAATAGCTAGGCTGGCTCTTTATACATTATCCTGAAACTTAAACTAACACTAAAACTTGAGCATTAACTGAAACATCCATGCCTGTTAAATATAGTTGTGTATCTGTATCTGTAGTTTACAGTGTCCAGTGTCAGAGGGGGACATTTAAGTTTTAAAGTACAGTTGTTAAGAAAAGGATCTAACATAGAGGAACTTAAAACTTATGCAATGTACTCTTCTTAGAGCATATGTAACCACTGACTCATATTTCTTTGTTTCTGCACACCCCATGTGTTATGAAAAAAATGACTTATTTCTATGATCCCTTGAAACAGTATATTATGCAGTACAGATGTTTTATTTCTCCATTACACTGTCATATAAGGATTTGGTTAAAATTTTAGAATACTCTACCTGTATGAGAAAGAGAGTATACCATAGTGGTAAGTATATGTTACATTATTTTATTTAGTAGTGCCTAAAAAATGCTTTACTATTTTTATTATTTAATGTTTTATTTTGGATCATTCATCTGTTTTAATCAGTATTTGTGTACTGTAAGAGTTGAATAATCCATCATGCTTGTAAATGCCAGTTTCTGTTATCCATCAGCTGTTGAGACAGTCCAGTGGACAGAACAAATCTGTCTAGAAACAAGGAATGCAAATAAGTATTTAAAATTGTAATTTAAAATAGGCCATGCAGTACAATAAAATTATTGCTGTGCAACCATATTTAGAATAAAAGGCTAAACTGCTGTTTTAAGAATACTGTACTAAAGTGTCGTAAAATTGTGCTGAAAAAATTGTTTGGTAAAAATTACTGTGAAAATTTGGTGATCATGGGATATCATGCTATTAATGATTAATTTACTGTTAAGTTTGCGAAACTTTATATACCAGCATGTGAAACTTAAAACAAAAAATTCTTGCATGGGCCAATGATAAATAAAATTGAGCTGAAGTGGTGTGGGTGAGTCACGTTAAAGAATTTTGGATTTATTTTAAATGTTATGTTTTTGCTGTATATTATAGTAAGCAAGCTAAGAAACTGTTATTGATTTCTAATACAAGTCTTCATTTTTCATCTGATCTATGCAGTGTAATTACTCTAAAAGTTTGTCTTTGTTGTTGACTGTCCATCCAACAACAGAAAGGAACATTTTTATAATCTTACTATTTTTTCTCTATCATGATTGAAAGACCCGGGATCTAACAGATATGTGAATTTGCACTTTACATGCTCTTTCATGGTCAGAAGTTGCCAGACACCTACTATTGTGGAGTCTGAGACTTGCTGCACACATTGATAAGATGCCAGTCTTGTTGTTTGCATCATTTATAACTTGTCTTTTTTGTGCAAGTCTTTCCACCAGCTTTAAGTATATGTTCATATTTATTACCCTTCATTCTTCCATGAAAGGTTAGAGTCGAGATACTGAAATTGAGTAGTATAGCTGGACATGTAGTCTGTGTTTCAGGTCTTTGTAGACGTGGACTTTCACATATTTTTCAATTTCTCTTTCATCACATGGAAGCACAACATTAAGTGTTTGGATATAACAGTTATCTTCTTGATAAGAAAAGGTCCTTTCCTGAACCTTAGCCAGAATGTTGGATAGGCAGAATTCTCAAGGTACGTCTCAGTATTCATCCTTCTGCCCACCACAACTAAAGAAACCAAGCTAAACCTGGAGAAACAGCTGCAATCTGTAATGCTTCCACCACAAAACTTAGTATACTTAAATATGAAGCATTTTCATGATAGTCACAACACCCATGCTCACCCAGAGGATTGTTAGATCATATAGTGAGACTTCTTGTCTTCAAATAACTTGTTTCATCTACTTTGCATTCTAAGGTTTGAACTTTGCACCATTGCAACTGATGTTTGGCATTGGTCATGCTTATGCTGAACTTCCGATTTTCGGCCTAGCATTGTGATATGTTTTTTAGCTCCTGATGAATAGTTTTGCTATTAGTGATGATGTCTGAGACACTTTGAAACTCGCAAGTAATACTTGCTACTGAGGATATTTTTTTCTATTCAGGTTTTAGTGGCTGTGATCATTAAGTTTATGTGATCTACTACTTAGTGTTATTATCATTTCACATCTCAGACATTTGCATTTTATAATGGCATCACTTGCAACTGATTTATATACAAGTAGCAAGGATGATATTTTTGGAACCAAGTTGTTGGAGAAGTAGCACCCAATGATCATGTTGTATTCAGCCAGCTTCGCAGATTTATTCATTGTCTAAAATAGCAATTCCCAAAAATTTTATCTTGTGGAACCATTATTAGAATCAATACCTTTAGCAGAGCCATCCCTCTTCCCATCTTAGGCCTTGTCTATGTATTGTAATTTAATAATATTTACAAACAGTTCTAGGAGAATAAAGATTGGTGCATTGTAAAGGACTCTAAAGAGATCCCTAAACAACTGCACAATATCTGTACAATGAGATTATTTTAAATATATTTAAATTTACCAGAATTCTGTTTATTCAAAACTTTGCCATACAGGAAAGTTATTCCAGAATTTCAATAATTCAAACTATTTGCACTGTAAGAAATTATTAGTGAGAAATTAAGTGGATCCATATAATAAACACATCTTTAGTTTAATCATATCAAAATCGATTAAAACCAATATTTATTCATTATTTGAAATTTTAATTATTTGTTGCAAACAACAATTTAAATTTAAGTATACTAACTAGATTTTAATGTAATGCAAGAGTAGGTCTAAATTAAGACATTAAAGTAACATATTAACATTTAATGAGACGTGGTTGCATTTTTATTTTAGGCTCAGTTGATGTCTGGTTCTGTATTGAAGAAACTTCAGTATTTTGTTTTGGTACTTGTGATAGAAGGAGAATCCCACTACACAGAGATGTGTAGTTGAGAAGGACAACAATAGTAATATTTCTTTCTCAGAGATTTTGAATTCATCATGTAAATGCAGCTAAAACTCCTGTAGATTTTATGAAATGTGATTTTTAGTTTTCTGTATGATGTCAAGTCAGTGTATTCTGCTGAGTTTAGACTGGAATTTTTTTTATTCATGTAGGGGATGATATTTTTCCCCCTAGCTGCATTTAAAATCATTAAGCATTTTTCAAATCTTTGAAAGCTTCGGAATGCGCTGAAATATTTGTTCTGCATTTTTCTTCAATCTTTGTTTTTTTTTGTTGAAGAAGCTTTTTGTGGGAGAAAAGCTTCAGATATCTTCCTTTTCCATGCACGCTTACCAGTACACGAGTTTTCGCTTTACAGAACACAGCTTGGTGTTTGCATTAAAATCTGGCATTTTTTTCTTTACTGTGATAAATTTACTAGGGATTTGTTTGAAATAAGGGCCGTTTGAAAATAAAAACCAAACAAAAGAAAATTTTCAAACACCAAATTTATTTTCAGATTCTACACATGTTTCTCTATTTTTTAACATAATTGCAAAGTGTGTTTAAACACTTATTATACCGTGGAACTAGATTTTGTATACCCTCGTCATAGAAACTTGCTGCTGCTTCGATAACCAAGAGGTCACCGCCATCTTTACATCTTCGTCATCGTTGTAGTGGTTGCGGCCAAGATGATGTTTGAGATAGCGGAAAAGATGAAAATCACTTTGCGCAAGATCTCAGATGTAGGGAGTTAGTCCAAAACTTCCCAGCCAAGAGTTCCAATAAAGCTTGGGTCTGAGCTGCGGTGTGAAGCCTTGCATTGTCAATGGTGTAGAAAAATTCCTTCTGTCAGCATGCTGTGCCTTTTGTTTTCAATCGCTCTGCGTAGCTTTCACAGTGTTTGGCAGTAGGCTACTGCATTTATGGTGGGTCTGCATTGCATGAAGTTGACCAACAAAACACAGTGTCTATCCCAAAACATGAATGCCATGATCTTTCGCTGGGACAGACTCTGTTTGGCCTTGATCCTAACAGGAAACCATGTGTGTCTCCACTCCATGCTCTGTCGTTTCCATTCAGGGGTCACATTTGAAATCCACATTTCGTTTCCCATTATGATCCGACTCAACATGCTGCCACCTTTTTCATTCTAATGAGTCAAAAAATTCACCAAACACTCATCTTGTTTTTGTGGTCCTGCGTTACGAGTTTAGGGAACCAATGGGAGCTTTTTCTTAAATCTTAATTTTACAGAAGCAATCTTGTACAGCACTAACTTAGACAGTTCAGGAAATTTGTTTGAAAAAGTGCTTATGGTGAAGCGTCTGTTCTTAAGAATTTTCATTTCAACTGAAGCCACCATATCGTCTGTGATCACAGATGGGTGACCGGAGCGGGACTCATCATGGACGTTGCCACAGCCGGCTTTGAAGTCTCCAACCCACTTATGCACTTTGCCTTTGCTCATGGCTATCAGTGACTGTACCTCGCATGTGACAGGCAGTTCGATAATCTTGAACATTTTAGATACAGAACAGAC